CAGTGTATTAACACAGCTCTAGGTATTTCATGTACTAAACAGCAGCAGTCATTTAACACTTAAAAATAACATTTTCATTACAGACAGAAACAGCTACTGCCAATACCTTTAGACATGATCATCTCTACCGCTATGTTGTTTTCACATAGGCTCTGTCTTTGAACATGACAGTTGGGGGGGACACTGTAGCTGATGAGGGAGAATGTGCAAAAGGGATGATGGAGAAAGCCTATGAAAATTACAGCAAACAGAGAAGTCAAGGAGTAGAGAAATGAAGGCCTGTGTGGGGGCTAGAACAGAGGCTGACAGAGGTATCAGATAATGTTTCAAATAGCACGTATTTCCCTGCTCCCACTAAATTAGCAGGAGTTGCTGCCGCAAACAGAGGCAAAGTATTGCTATTGAGGTAGCAGCTGGACTATGGTCAGCAGCACCTAGCTGATCCTACACACGCACACACGCATCCTTCACAGAGTTCCGTGCCCCTAGGAATAGCATGAGAGGAGGAATAGCACTATTGAAAAATACCTGTAAGCCAACTGTTAGTGTTCACTCACTCAAGCTTCTCAGCTGTTATGGGGGAGTGTTTTTAATGGAATTGCAAATAAGCATAATGATGCTTCCACGACTAAGTCTATAGTAGTTGATAATGCTTAAACTACAGCTACTATTAAACAGGCAAATTGAGATATTGGGACACGCTACATGTCCCCAGAAGACAAGCCAGACAAAGATTGATTATATGTATGTGGGTGTGCAGAAAGTGAAAGCTGTTTTTAGCCCAGAAGCATAATTCTGCTTCAGCCATTTGATGTCCCAGGAGATTTGTGTGTGTGTACGTGTCTGTGTATTGAAAGATCCATTTGGAACTATTATTTTTGACAAGACTTGAGACCAAACAGTCAAAAACGGAGAAAACAAGGGGTGTGCAGTGTGACTTGAAGATAGCTATAGAATTTGCAACTAACTGCTGCTTACCTGATTAGTATTTTAATCTATATAAACATGGCGGGTACTGAAGGGGAAAGTCTGCATGCAGATGGAATAAATGTAATGCCTCTGGCTGCTGCGCACATGACAGACTACCCAAAGGAGCAGGATTCATGCAAAGCTGATACGGATGAAACATTTTTAGCTAGCCATCATTTTAAAACTCTAGTGTAGACAAGAACAGTTGTGCGAGCCAACAGTGGTGAACGTAAATTTTAACTTATTCTTGGAGGTCACCATCTTCCTCGTGCTGCTGCCAAATGTGGTATGTTAAAAGGCATCTCCAGAAACTGGTCTAGCTAAAGCTTTCAGGAATCTAAAGCAAATGTAGTATACTTTAAACACTGCAGAAGGAGGAAGAAAAAAAGAAGACAAACTGTTGCTAGACTGAAGAATGAACTCTGAATTTAGCTTATCTAGCAGAGGGCTCAGATTCTCTTCTCACTCCTCTAAGACTCTTGCATTTATTGGCTCCTTTGAAAAGTAGCGAGATGAGACTAAGCATTTCAGGAGTTAACAATGAATCTTTCATAGCTAGCTTAATGCAGAAGTGCTGATCATGCAGGCCTTCCTTTCAAAAGATGATACAATGCCATGCCTTTTTTTTCTTTTAAGGATTGCTACTTTGCTTCAGAGAGACCCTGAACAATTTCAGAGCAGAAAAAAAAAACTCACCATTTTCAAGTGTTTTGAGAACTCTAAAGAGGGCTCCTTCTGGTGTTGCATCTCTGATACAGCGGATGACTTCACCACTTTGCTTTCAGAGATGTCAACTTTTTTTTTTTTTTTAATAAACCCTGAAGTGTTTAGAATCTTAATTAGAATGTGGTTTCCCATCCTCCCTGAGCACGTGTGGTAGAGGGAAGGGAAGCGTCTTCTGCGACTCAGAAAAGAATGGAAGGGACTAAGGACTGAGGAAAGAGTAGGTGCCATCCTCTGTCCTGTGGTGTGAAGGGAGAGCCGACAGACAAGAGTAGGTCTCTATAATTTTATTCTCAGTACTTACACAGTCACTGCACCGTGCTACAAGTTATTAACTCACAGCATCCTATTGGATGTTACTAGCTTTGCACAAACCTAGCAGAAAGGAACATTCTGCTTATGGTTAAACCATTGCCATCGACACCTGCTACTATCTGAAGAACAAAACCATTTTGTTAGAGGATGCAGTCATCATCTTTAAAAACTATTTATAATTTCAGTATCTTTTCCTAATGCTTCAGATGCATGTATTGAATTTGAAATTGTCTACAGTTAGTCTTATAAAGTTCTGCTTGTTTTTCTTCCAAAGAAAATAGCAGCATATTGCAAAATAGGAAGGTCCTGTAGCAAAATATGTAGTTATTACTAAATAATTAGTCAAAAATGTTTTCTGACAGTCCTGTTTCATTTCTTTGCATATAACGTATGTTGCAGAATTGACTCAGACAAACTCTACACAGGTATATTCACAAAGATAAAGCAAAACAGTCTTCTGTAGTACCAAGTCAAGAAAGGTGGTGCTGTTTGGCAAGTAATTATTTGCCTCTTTACTATTTTATGATCTGAGCTGACTTGAAGAGGAAGGTGGATGTGATCCCTAAGCACGTGTCAATTTGCATCCTCTGCCTCCTGCTTTCATGCCTTCTTTCCTCCTGACTCAACTTCAGATTAGAAGATGAGGCATGCAGAGTTTATGGGAAGGTGTATATGAACAATATCACAGAACTGAAGTTCAAAAACCTCATCGCCTAACATCCAGAACAAGTAAATCATGTCTGCATTAAGTTTCAGTTAATTGAAGAAATAGCTATCACGGTAGTAAAATACACAAGGAGGTTATCACTTTTATAGTCAAACGTCCATATTTTAATCTGCTTGAACTAACGTGCAGGGGCTTGCAAGAAGAACAAAGTTAATGCTTTAATGCCTTTTTTTTTTTTTTTTTCCCTGTGATGAGTACTGAAAAGCCAAAAAGAGCAACGTTCAAGCAGAACTACTTTCAAATGCCCAGTTGCACATGCTGACTGCCTCAACAAAAAGGAAAAAAATGAATGAAGAGTAGGAAGAGAAAGAAAAATATGTCCTTCTCATTGATGTCTTTGAGAACTGTTATTTAAGAGTGTCTCTTTCCAGCAGCATTAAAGTTTGTTCTCCTGGAAAAGCTGCTGTTAGTGAGATAAAGCTCACTATCGCACAAGTTCACAATGTAAAATGTGCACTGTGAATACTTCTGAACAGTTTAATCTCATGCACTGTTTTTCCAGTGTGGTCCTTTGTGTAGCAAAGTATGTACAGACACAGTCTCAGCTAAGTATAAGATTATGAACTGGTTACACCTGACACATCAGCTTTTGTGTTGAGCCACAGCTTACTACTGCTTATATTGTTTTTGTTCTGTGTGCAGAATTCTAATCAGGTATTTGAGTGATGAAATAAACATCTGGTGCCAATAAATACAGTTCATTTTAAGTAGTGTTGTCTTAAATGTTGCCATTTGTTTTCTAGGTATAAAAGTTCCCAGGAGCATACAAAATTATTTCCAGCCTGAATTGGCTACAATTTCATTGTGACATTAAGGGATTACTTCGATTAGACCTTCTCTTTGCTGTTCCACTGATGACTGACAATTTCAGTAACTACACTACAACAAAGAGAATGTTAATTCATTTGTCTGGGCGCTTAACTGTGTACACGTCAACTGTGAGCATAGGTGCTGTCAGTTATTCCACTGATGCATTTCTTGAGATCTATTATAAAAGCTTTATTTTTATGACACCATTAGAATCAGTTTTCTTCCCTGGTGAGTCTTTGTACTGAAATAGTCATTGTAAGATTAAAAAAAGTGCTTTTATCCCTTAGAGATTTATACCAAATTGTAGCATAGTCACAGAAAATGCTATGATTGCAGAATGAACTGAACACCACAATGAGTACAAAGTTAAATATAAACAGGACATTGTGTTCAAGAGGCCAGGGGATTGCAATTTGTTCAAAAGAAGAAAGTCATGCAAAATTCAAGTTTTGAATGTGCTTATCACCTTCCATGGAGTAGATAAAAGCAGTTAATATTACTTTTGGACTGCTATAATTGCACCAGGACGCTTTTCAGGGTGTTGCCTGTGCACTACTAAAGCGTGGTTCATATTTTCAAGTACCTCATTTTACAGTTACATTGCTTCTCATTCAAGACACTAAACTGCTTCAAAACAGAAACCAGTGCAATTACGGACAGGCTCTGGCATAGCAACCTTCATGGGCAATTCTTATTTTTCCTTGAAGCCCTGGCTTTTACCCAGCTCTAGGTTTGAAACTTGATAAAAAGGCAGAGCTGTTTTATGTAACTTACCTTTACTGTAACACAGCCATCTTGCTCAAGAATCATGCATTTTTATAATTGAAAGTACCATACTAATTTGAGGAAAAAAATGGGTGTACGTGTCCCATGAATCAGGCACAATTTCAATTCCAAACAATTTTCAAAATTGTTTTTAAATAATCTCCTTGACATTCTCTCTCCTTCTAATACAGACCATTGTTTTTTAATTAGCCTTGTGTTTCTAGCATCTAAATGATTAAGAAACAATAGTTATTCCTCTACTTATCCATTATGAATCCAGCCCATTATGATTTGAAATACAGCTACTCTAGGCACAGAAGCTGTCAAAATGCATGAAAGAACATTTAAGACATTTTAAAACTTGGATGCCAATGATATAGTGCACAGTATGCACTTCAGAGTATGAACAAGTTGTTCATTGGATCACTGTATCTAACCTCAAAGTTAAATTGACCAACACTCGGGCTATATCAGTTTTAGCCAGATTTGCTTACAAAATAAATCACTAAACTTGAACCCAACAGAAATATTATCCTCCCCTTCCAAACTGGCAGAAAATACTGTCCACCTTCCACCAATTGTAAAGTCAGCTTGAAGTTACTGGCCTAACTGTTGGTATTTATTTTCCCCATTCATATTTCTTATGTGAGCTTGCAGCAGAAATGGTGCAAAATAGCAAGATCTGTTGGAATAGGCAGAAAGGAATTCAAACTTTAATCTGATTGGTTTAATTTTTTTTTAGCAGGAGGAAAAAGAATAAAGTTACAAGATTCTTTTAATATTTTCACAATGTTAAACTAAAACTGAGCTCTAGGCTACATGAGTAAGTAAATCTAGAACACAAAAGGGTTAAATAAGATCTTCTTTTAAGATACAAGAACTTAAGCTTTCTTTACGTTTAACAAACTTCACAGAACAGATACTGCAAAGGAACAACCCCCTCCCCAACTTTTTTGTTTAAAGTGAACATTGTCCATAATTCACATGAACTTTAAGTAGTGTTCTCTCAAGAGCCACCTTGAAACCATCTGTGCACTTGTAACGAGATTAAAGAGAATATTAAGGAGAACAAAAAAGCATCTTCAGTATTAATGCAGAAAAGTCTTGTGTATCAATCAGAATGCCCATCAAATGCTATGATAGAATTTTGTAGGAAAAGAAAGTGCGTATCACAGCAGCCACCAAAATCCATGTTTTTTTTAAACTCCTCACAGCAAATGTAAATAATATCCATGGACAGTCCCTCTCACCAGGGCCATTTCCTGAAAATGCAGCACATGACAGAAGATTTTGCTGCTGGTTTCATATTCTTGAATAATAACAATACTAAAAAAAAAAACCAAACAGCTTGCCTTTTGAATAGCTTGCATTTTATAATGATGGGACACTTCTGATTTGCTTCATGGTTAATTAATGCTAATACAGTCAGATGCTGAGTGTGTGTATGGAGAGACATATATATATTCTTTTTTTTTTTTTTTTTTTTTTTAAATTAGTTGTCTCCTTGTTAAATGCTCCTAGCTGGCTACCAAAGTAAAAATATAACTTGGCCTATAAGGAGTTAGTTACCTGTAACAAGTAGAATGGAGGATGACTCACACAAGCTTACTCCCAAAATGCTGGGGTTTTTCAAAATGACACGTTATTTCACCCCTCTGATGTTTTTTATCTATCTGCCCAGTATTTGGAGACAAAAATCTTTCCCTCCCTCAGGTTTTCTTACAAATTTGCCTGATTGTTAATACCCTACTAATAGACTGAGAAGCTAAATTCACACAGGATTAAGCTGGGCCACATCAGTACAAATCCTTTTTTACCTGCATAAACCCCGTGTGCAGCAGGAGACATGCCGATTGATAATTATGTTTGCTTTTCTGTTTCCAAACTGACAAGACTGGTGCAATTCAGTTCAGCTCAGCTCAACGTGACATACCATAATACAGAACCATAGGTCTAAACAGATCCAAAACATTCTACTCCATGTAATGCTTTTCACATTCACTTGCTATACTTGCTTTGCAATAGATGTGGGCAGAGATTTTCATGAGAGCGTTCAGCTGCATAGAAAGGGGGCCGATATAGCCCATTTGATTATCTCATTGACACTCTGGAAGTGAGGAACACAAACTCAATCTCATAAAGGGTGTTTTTACCAGTTGTTCCCCAATACTGTTACTGAATTCCGTTTGCTACAAAATGTCCTTTTTTTCCCCAATATATAAGTCTAGCTACAGAAAGTCAGTCTGTAGAATCCAGCCATGGCTACTGTGCTGTGAATTAGCCTTATTTGATCAATTATCAGATACCTGCACTTAGCAAAAGGCAAACAAGAGCCAATCAGGTTTCGGCCGGTGGGAATGGCTGCACTGCTCAAGGTATGTGGAATCGGTTCACACAACTCGTAGAATCTCTGTGGATGCCATGTGGAAAGTATGCACCATTTACTGCTCTGGGATGGAGTTGGCTCTAAAGTGAGATCATAATTTAACTGAGAAGAAAGAAAGAAAGAAAAAAAAAACCCTGATAGGTTCTTTATAGTAAGATAGATATAAAAATTTTTCATAAGAATCTCTGTCCCCCCTTTCTTTTTGGCTTCCTGGGAAGAACCAGAAAGATGTTCCTACCCCAACAGAATCCCTGATGCTGGTGACACTGCCTAACTCAAAAGCCACACGCGATGAAGGCACGAGTGACCAGTCAGGTCTTCTGGGCTCAAGCAGCTGCAGTTGCTGCTTTTAGTAGTATTTCACCTCCCCAGGATTCACTAGCAGTGAAGAGGTGAAAGGCTGCACATTAAACAGTTTGTCCGAAAGCCATGTGCATAGCAAACTTTTACACCAGGTTCTATACAACTATTTGTTTTAATTCTGCAGCTGGAATGTTTCCAGCGTAAGGCTTTTAGAGTGACTCCAGCAATAACAGAAGCCTTTGGATTTTTCTTGTTTTGTTTAAATCCACTAGCCATGCTCAAAAATAATATTTCTTCATGTTTTATTTTTATACGGTGGCTAGCAGGCACCTTAGTAACCAGCCAGAAATCAATTTCAACCACCATCAACCCCTAAACTACAGTACCAGGACGGTTGGCTAAAGAAAGGAAACTGATTGGCTGTAGTCTGAAACTTGCCTAGTACAAGGTGTCTGGCTGACTTTGTCCTAAATAAGGCTAACATTAGTGAACTAAGAGAACAGCATTTGGTTGCAGTCTTGCACTCAGGAACATCCTTCGCCAATGCGTTGGCAAGATCTCCCTACTTTCCGATCCAGTTTCACCATTTTCATAATGGCTTCCTCACGCCCACGTCCCATGTGGTCAAATGTGCAGTCATGTTGTTCAGGCAGGCGATGTAACATACAGAACACATAACCTACCATGGAAAGGGAGAAAAAACAAAATACAGTTAGGGACTTGGTTAAAGTGGCAGAATCTTACCTGAATCAGAAGTGAAGAATCACCTACTGGGGGATTACTCAGTTCTCAAAAATTAATGCCAGCTTTACGTTTTTTACTTCCCTTCCTTACAGGGAATTAATAAGTAATTATTTACTGCATTTTCTTGAGTATTTATCAACACAGTAGCAAAGCTAAAGTCATATTAGGTTTGGGGTTTTTTTTTTGCCATCCTCTCATCTTATCGAGGAAGCCCCCAAAATCATCTAAACTAGGTATTCCCAGGTAGTAACAAAAGTAACGTTTTTAAAAAATAAAGATGATCACTTTCACTGAAATCTTTTCTACTTTACTTTTACTTTTCTACAGTTTTCAGAAGCTTCTCTTCATGAACTGTTCTGACACTAAGCATGGGGGTGAACAGGCATTTGACATAGGGACATGTCATGCCACATCATCTTGTTCTGTAGCTGAAAAGATGTAGGTTATTACACTGAAGGCAGAGGCTTTCATAGAATCATAGAGTGGTTTGGGTTGGAAGGGACCTTTAAAGGTCATCCAGTCCAACCCCGCTGCAATGAGCAGGGACATCCTCCACTAGATCAAGTTTCTCAGAGCCCCGTCCAACCTGACCGTGAATGTTTCCAGGGATGGGGCATCGACCACCTCTCCGGGCAACGTATTTCAGTGTTTCACTACCCTCATTGTAAAAAATGTCTTCCTTATATCTAGTCTGAATCCACCCTCTTTTGGTTTCAAACCATTCCCCCTTGTCTTATCACAACAGGCCCTGCTAAAAAGTTTGTCCCCATCTTTCTTATAAGCCCCCTTTAAGTACTGGAAGGTTGCTATAAGGTCTCCCCAGAACCTTCTCTTCTCCAGGCTGAACAACCCCAACTCTCTCAGCCTTTCCTCATAGGACAAGTGTTGTTCTATCCCTCTGATCGTTTTTTTGCGACCCTCCTCTGGACTCGCTTCAACAGGTCCATGTCCTTCTTATGTCGGGGGCCTCAGAGCTGAACTCAGTACTCCAGGTGGGGTCTCACCAGAGTGGAGTAGAGGGGCAGAATCACCTCCCTCGACCTGCTGGCCACGCTTCTTTTGATGCAGCCCAGGATATGGTTGGCCTTCTGGGCTGTGAGCGCACATTGCCAGCTCATGTCCAGCTTTCGATCCACCAGTACCCGCAAGTCCTCCTCTCAATCCCTCCATCCCCCAGCCTGTATTGATACCAAGGGTTGCCCTGACCCATGTGCAAGACCTTGCACTTGGCCTTGTTGAACCTCATGAAGTTCACATGGGCCCACTTCTTGAGCTTGTCCGGGTCCCTCTGGATGGCATCTCACTCCTCAGGCATGTCAACCGCACCACTCAGCTTGGTGTCGTTTGTCTCTTTGTCTAAAACTAGTCAATGTTATTCAGTTTTCCAGGGAGTGTGTGATTCAGAAACACATGGCGATACTTTTTCCTACAGGTGAGGAGGGCATCTTTAGTAGCCACCTCTTTCTAGTCTACAAAGAAAGACAGCTTTTTTCTTATTTGGCCCTAACACTTTAAAACAGTAAAGAAATTGCCTCAAATTTCCTACCTCTAAAATGAATATTACATAGTGATAAGTAGTATTAAGATGATATAGTAGGGAAAAGAGTCGCACAGTTATAGGGTTCATGTAGTCCACTATATGTGAAACGAAGTATGATATCGCCTATGCTGCAATATTTTTCTCTGCCTCTCACTGAATGCTTTACACTACTGTTGCTCCTTGAATGCTCAAAAGATATTAAAACTACAAAATGATGATATTTGAGAGACGAAAAAGGATAAAAATGAGTGAATGATTGATAGAGTGTGTATTTGTGCATACATATATACATACAAAAATGTGTGTAAAGTATTTCAAGCTCCTGGACTATAAAACATCAATTGTAGGAGAGAACAACAGGCTACCTTTATGTTAGTGTGATTGTTAAGAAAACAGAAAGGAGAAAAAGTATCACACATGGAATTATTAAAAAAAAAATAATGTGAAGAAAAACTGATTTATCTTTGCTCTTTGTTTCAATAGGACCAGCTATGAAAAGACGTGTATTCTCTGTGGCTGGCTTTGAAACCCAGTTCTAGGAACAAAACAAAAAAGACAAGTTTTCTGTATTGGTATATTCGATTCAGAAATATGGATGGAAAGATGCAGATTGAATTGATATATATCTTGCCCCTTGTGATCATTGCCTCCACTTCAATCTCAATCTGGGTCATACCACACTCAAGTGTGACAAATATCTTTCTTGAGGTGCCAGAAATTCAAGGTCTGATTGTTAAAATGAAAACATCCTTGGACTTATGGTTTCAATACTGAACAGGCATTTCACTCAATTCTCTCTTACAGAAAGCATGGACTGAAGGCTTCCCTTATTTCTTGAAATAAGACTTCAAATTACTGAACCAATGTCCACTGCAGGCACTAGAATACATAAATACCTGACTAGATGAGCTCAAAAATCAAGTTTGTCATCTTGTCTGCAATGGATGTGTAAGAAGCAGATGCAAGAAACCCTGCAGACATGGATTGGGCTGAAGTCATTTTAGTCCCTTGTAGGTAAAAAATGGTTTTAAATCCTGATGGTTTTACAGATCCTCTCCACATGGTTAACAAGCATATGTAGAAATGCTATTTAATGTTATCTAAGAGATCTTGAACGTGTATACAATCTTCTACACAGTTTCAGCAAGACCCTTTTCCCAATTTATAAATCTAATAAGAACATATATATACAACGATTTATCACTTTGAACGTGACCTTTCAATTGCCCCATCTCCTCACCTCCTACCTTTTGTAGACCAATGTCACTTAATGATGTTCCTTTCTACATTGCCACCCCTCCAATACATTCTATTCTGTGCTTTGCCATATGGTTATTTCTTTTTTGAACACCCTTCAGTTCATTTTAGTTGTTTTCATGTAGGAAAAGCTGTACTGTATGCTATTTTTATTCCAGGTGAAACACATTATTTATTTTTTGTTTGTGAAGTATTTCCTTATGCATTCTTGAACAGAATTTCAATAACTATCCACAAAGATGATTTTCATTTTTCCAGTCTATGGGAAAAGTATTTCTAATTTCAGCAACTAAATGGTCTAAACCTGTTATTCATATATCTATTTAAATATGTACTGCTAATTAGAACTGATAATACCTAACGAAAGAATACCCAAGCACGTTTTGAACATTACTGAAGATAGTTTTGCATGTATTGGCTGTTCTTATGGAGGGGGTTTATTCTTGTTGAATCAGCAATGGGGATCTTCTGGAAGTCTCATTTCCAAAAGAGACTTCAGATCTTTAGTCCCATTGCTCCAAACGCCTAAGTCACTTTAAAGATTGGAACTTGTAATTTTGTGGGTTTTATTTAAAATTTAAAGAACTTGAATACTGTTATATAGTAGCTAGTTGAGTAACAGTAGTTCTGAACATTTTTTCATTAGTTCAGAGTGGATATAATCAATTAAGTTATTACTGCTATATTCACTCCTTGCTTCTTCACTGGTCTGGAAATCAGAGTGGACATACTGTGGTCTGCATTCGTACCAAGACCATCAGTTTTTACAACAGTTTCATTCTTAACTTATGTGCACTGGGGCAGAAGGCCAATATATGTACTTCTGTTTTGATCCTTAAAACCAATCCAGATTTAGAGGTGAAAACTTTTCTCCTGAGAACTCTGCTTTTATGGTTATAAAGCAAGTTAGATTAATGAATTCTTGCAGTGTATTTACTGTTAAGTTCATTATGGGAAGGTATCAAATACAGGTTGTCTTCCCTAAAGGATTTTACTGCAGAAATGCTTCTTTTAGCACACTATAACTAAAAGACAAAAATAAACAACTTTCTGCTAGGGGAAAGAGCATTGGAAAAGGGAATCTATCTGCCAACTAAAGTTAGTTTACTCTAGTCATCAACCAAAAATATGCCAGACTTCTACTCCGAGCACAGAAGATTCCAGTCTAGTAAATGTAATAATACATCTCACAGCATTGCAATTGTTGTTTTCCGATGTTAGAAGTAAACTATGAATCACCTACTCCTCAGGCCTCTAATGCAAACATCTTGGAAAAACATTATGTACTGCCTCAAAACATTTGAGCTCCTCTAAGCACCTCAGCAACTACTTCACAATATATCATCAAAAATTCACTTCCATTTCATCACCAGAGCATAAATGGCTAAAGCCATAAAGCAGTGTACCATCTCTGCCTTACTTGTATCCATACAGATGAGTCTTTTGCATAGGACATGCAAAAAAACATCATTCAAAGGAAGTCTAAGGTAGTACACAAGCAACTGTGAAGTTGCTTTCATCATTCCTGAGGAATCTGCTGGGAAAAGGCAATCGGAGAGGACAGAAAACAAAATAATCTTCCATATTCAAGACCAGAGAATACCACATACCTCCAATTTGCTCTGTGCAGGTGATGATGAAAAACGATGGCATTTTCTTCATTGTTATATTCAAGAGTACTGGCTTGATGGGAGTATGGAATGACAATAAGCAAATATTTCAACTAAAACCTACATTTAATTCTTAACTTTGTCTTCAAATTCTAAAAACGGTAAGCTGCTAAAATACCAACAACATGATACCTGAAGCATCAGAAACAATTCAACTAAATGGCATAATAATCCACAACACAAAAGCCTAATTATAATTTTGGAGGGTCCCTGATTTTGTTAAAGTTCTTTGTTAACACAACGGAAAGTGGTCAGGCTGTCTGGAACACGGCACAAATGCCCAGTAATTGGGTTATTGCAAACTACCAATGGAGAAGCACAGCATACTGGTGGGACTACTCTAGTGGACATCCTTGGCCAGGCATGGAGTAGTCCCAGACTCTTCTAACAAACTGCTGGAGAACATCGCACCGTTACATAAGATATACAATAAATATAATGATTCCTGTTACATGAATAGCATCGTGA